AGCCATTTGTTCTGGCTAAAGACAATCTCATGGGAAAGAGGATGAAACCCTTTAAATTTCAGTAGTCTTCATTTCTTAAAGTTGTCAAGAATGCTAGATGGTTGATCCACCTCTAATTTGGCAATGTAAGAGGGGGTGAAGATAGTAATGCCAGGAGAGGACTTAGTGTTCTTCTCTGTCTGTTGTCTGTCACTTTCCCTCTCTGTCTCTTTCTCTGTCTCTCTCCCCTCCCCTCCCCTGATGGCAGGTCATCCTGGGAGTGGAAAGGACCAGAAGAGAGTGAGGCATCTGTTTATCTGTAGCCTTGGGAAGCTAGGACAGTGTGACAGAAGTTGGAAAGAGGGGTGGATCGGGAAGTCAAGATACTGAATTCTGTTTTGGTCGTGTTGAGTTTGAAATGAGAATAAGACATCCGTTTTGAAGTCTTATAGGCAATTGGTGATGTGAGCCTGGAGTTCAGGAGAAAGATTGGGGCGGAACATTTAGATCTGGGGAGTCATCTATATGGAGGTGATAGTTGAACTCATGGAAGCTGATGGTCATTTAGAGAGAGAAAGGAGGGCCCAGGAGATCCCTGGGGAATACTCATGCATAGGGATAGGATAGGTATGGTGGTCCAGCAAAAGAAATTAAGAAAGAATAGCCAGGCAGGTAGGAGGAGAACCAGGAGAGGATAGGGTTGTGGAAACCCAATGAGGAGAGTATGTGTAGGAGGAGAAAGGAGGGGAGCGGTCAGCAACATGGTGTCTGACTGTTCTTTTCCCTGCCTACCTGATTATAGATTCATAAGATTTAGAGCTAGAAGGGGCCTCAGAGATGGTCTAGGGTCTAGGCCACAGCCTTCATTTAACAGAGAAGTAAGTGGAGGCCCCAAATGGTTAAGTGATCCACCCAAGGTACAGGTAGTACATCTGCTAAGTGTCAGAGCTACATTTCTACCTGTGGTCTTCCAATTCAGAATCCAGTTCTTTCCCACGGTCTTTGGCTGCATTTTATTCCATTTCAAGTGTGGGAAACAAAGATTTGGCTCCAGTTTGGACTGGCTCGATCGGGTTTCTGTTAGTTTAACTTCTACTGTTTGGCCTCTAGCTCAGCAAAGAAACAAAATGGCAGCTCAATTCTGTGCTGGGTTGATGGGCTTCATTCTGATTCGTGGTTTAGGGACTGGTTTTCTAGCTTCTGCCTACAGATGAATCAAAGTTTGGAGATTCCCTTCCCTAGGAAACATAACCTGCTTTCCCTAAGGATTTGGCCATCATTTTTCCTGTGAGTAGGGTGGAAAGAAGATGGAATCATTCCTCCGATGAGAGGTGTCAGTCATTTCTAGGAGAACCACCTTGCCTGGTGCTCTCTGTCCGACACTTCCTCCTTCAGCTCTTCACTGAGGCTCTTCTTGTTAATGGCTTGGAAGGTTTGTTCTTTGCCCAGCATGCATCCTAACCTGGAGCGCCTCTCAGGGGATGATCGCCCCTGGAAGATGGTAATTCAAATAGGGGAAACACAGGAACCAGTCTTTCAGGCCAACCACCAACTCCTGAGAGACAGAGGAACAATCACAAATATCTAAGAGGCTTAAGAACAGGGTGTGGGTGAGATGTAAGAGGGAGGACTTTGGTCAAAGGAAGATGTTTAGGAATGACCAAATCCAACAAGGAAGGGGAGTTTCGTGTATTTCACTTGGGAGCTTCTCTGGCCCCACCCCCACCCCGATGATGTTAAGAGTGAATATTCTCTGGGCAAGTCACTTAACCCCAATTGCCTCACCAAAAAAGAGAGAGAGAGAGAGAGAGAACGTTCAGCTTGCTGATACCCTAAATTTTATGTTGACTCATCCTAACTTCAGAGGGTGACATTTTTTCTAAACTTGTCCTCCAGATTCTGGGATTGTTCCCTGCTTGGGGGCTTTTGGCCTTCTATTCACTGGTTACAAGTATGTTATGTGAGTGTAGGTACTCTTTTCTATGTTGAACTGACTGAGTTCTCTCTGGTGTATTATTCTTGCTTGAAATGCGATATTGATAGAGACAGTAGGAAAACAGAATGAATGGCAGGCCCTTAAGGCTCTTGTTGGTGGGATCTTCAGAAATAGGTATTTCTGCCCAAGTTTTATTTGAATCCAGATTTTTGAATTAATACTTATATTTATAACTTCATAGCTTTTGGATTCATTCAGAGGTCCGTACTTGAGGACCTAGAGGGCCACAGGTTCCCAGCCCCTGGTCTAGAGCGACACTTGACTCCTAACTCAGTACTTTTTCCACCAGGCCATTCTGGCCTGAGAGATATCAGAACTCTGGGCACGATTCAGGAGATGAGTGTGAGGTGTCCTTTTTAATAAGCATTAAGCCGCCGCCACCGTCGTCTTCATTATAAAAGACTTAATCTTCCTGGGTGCACAGTCAGAATCACAGTATCTTGGAGGTCACTTACTCCAACCTAGGCCTGAATAAAAAGGCTTTGTGTGAGTGCTTCTCCGACAGTCGGCTCAAAGACCTTCAGTGAGGGGGATTCCCTGTGTTTTGATCCCATACTTGAATAGTTTGGACCAGTAGGGAGTTCACCCTGTATCAAGCTGAAGCATCTCTCTAGAGCTTCCAAATATTTTTAAAGAATCACTCCTCGACCTGGCCTCTGTGCCCAAGCAGGAGAAACCAAATCCATTCTTCCATTGGACTAGCGTTTGTAGAGGCTTTAGTAGATGGCGTTTGGGAGTCGGCTGGAAAGATCCGGCGCCTGGGTGCCAACTAGCCAGTGTGGCCAGTGATGGGCTACTAGATAGTACCTGTCACTTCGGGCACAGCCCCAGCCTCTCCCATACAGTCTAAAACTGCAGTGATCAGGGCTCTGTTAAACAGCTTCCATTAACAGAAGGGTAGCTTAAGTCCATTCGTCAGGGGCTGGAGTGGTGAATGGAGATGAGGTGATGAGCGTCATGATTGCTGGGAAATCATCACCAGATTTCCAGAGTTGTTGGGGAAGACTCTCAAGAAGAGCTGGGGTTTCAAGAGTTGTTTCAAACAAGGGGAAGCCTTGATGAGTAAGTGGTAGTCCCTCACCATGAGCAGCTCCCTGGGCTTTGAGGACATCTCCGCTGTGTTGAAAATAGGCCAGAGACTGGGAACGGGGAAGGGAAAAATTAGATGTCAGATCCACTTTGCCAAGTGAGGGAAAACTAGATTGCTTTGTTTTGCAAGCAGCTTACATGTACAGAATCAGGCAAAGGGACAGGGAAAGATCACTTTTTTCCTGGTAATTTCCAAGAGTAAATGGACATCTGGTTCCCTGATTGGTCCATCAAAATCAAGCAAAAGGGGACTAGACTAGACTGTAGGGTTACGAGTACTTCAGGCTGCCCCAGAGGATGCACTGTGTCAGAGGCAGTTCTAGACCAAAGGTTAGAAGGATTACCACTTATTCTTGACATCATGGATCAATTACTATTAGAGTTTTGGTTAAGGCCCTCAGAGGCACATAATATTAATAAGAAAACCCCCTGATCATTTCAGTGCTGTCAGTTTTCTCTTCTACTCCCCCTCTGTGTTCCTGCCCTGATCTCTAGATATCCAGTATAGTGCCAGGGGTCCTTAACTTGGGGTCCATAGTCTTGGAGAAGAAGCCTCTTTGTTTTCACCAGCCTCTAACTGAAGTTTAGCATTTCTTTCACTGATTTAAAAACATTTTGAGAGGGGTCCGTAGGCTTCCCCAGACTGCCTAAGGGGTCCAGGACATAAGAATAGGAGAAGAATCCCTGGTGGAGTCAGAAGAGCTAGGTCGTCCCCCTGCGGCTCAATGCCTAATGACCAAGGCTGGATATTTCGCCTGTCCCGGCCTCTAGATGACCTTGACAACACCTCCCAGCTCTAAAACATCATGTCTTTGTAATCTCCAGTCTGCACTGGGTGCTGCTAAGATGGCCTCCCTTTAAGAGCTTTTAGCCACAAGGCAACAGAGAAAGTGTCTGTGCCTTGACCAAAAGTAATAAAGCCATGGGCACTTGATCACCCTTCAATGTTTTGTGGAAAGCAGGCACACCAAGGAAGAAGATCCAGGTTCACTCACTAAACCATTGGCTTCCCCCAAAGCTGGTGGGCCAGGCATAGCTTGACCTCCAGCTTTGGGCAGGCGAAGTAGGCTGGAGATATTGGTCCGAGTGAGCCTAGGGGATTTTTCATGCGTTTTTATGATTTAGGACAGCCCCTCTCATTGCTGCTCTTAGTGGTTGGAAGTTAGTGGGATGATGATGGAAGCATCTCCCAGAAGGCCTTGAGTCGTTCCGTGTCATTAAATGATCCTGAGTCACAAGATGTCAGAGTCAGAAGGGTGCTCAGGCAACATCTATCCCTGGATGTGAATGTCCCCCAATGGAGGGGGGATGAATGATCCTTTACGTGACAAAAGGAGGAACTTCCTAACTTCCAAGGCAGCCCTTTCTCTCGTAGCTAGCTCTGATTATGAGGAAGTTACTCCTTATGTGAACCCTAAGTTTGTACACCCTTCCCCCCTTGCCAACACACACACACACACACACACACACACACACACACAGCTTCTGCTTCTCCCCTCTGGGTCAAAGCAGAATAAGTCCGATCACTCTCTCACCAGACAGTCCTTTCAATATTTGAGGAGAATTATTGTGTTTGCCTGAAATGCTTCTAAGCCATGTGACAGCTAACAAACATGTGTCTTCTTGCTTTTCCCCCCCTTGCTGGCTCTCACTACCCCCACCCGAGTCTACTGGGAATTATCTGTAAGCAGGAGCCGGAGGGGCCGGTTCCAGCCGCTACCAGCTCTGCGTCCTCCCTGGAGTTGATCATGTTGGCCACCGGCCCATGACCAAGCGTGAAGGCAAAGGGACCCAGACTGTTGGTTTCACCAGGTGGACCATCGAGGCCACTTCTGCGTGGTTTAGGGGCAAAGGGCAGATGAGTTGACCACTTAAGTGCAGCTACCTTCCAAATAAACACTCATCTTTGTTCCTTCTTGTCTTGTGTTTGCCATAGAGTGACTCTCACCAGTTCCGTGTCATGGCCGCGGTCCTGCGTCACTGCTTACTCACCATGGGCCCAACTGAAGACAAAACAGAGGAACTTCACAGGTGGGTGCGCTCTGGCTGGAGAGGGCAGCCTGGCTGAGGGGCTCGGATGAGTCTGGATTTTGTGCCTTATTTTTCTAAGTAAGTCGAAACAACAAGGAGTTAATCCTCAGCCTTGAGAATAAACACAAGGTCACCGGCAGGCTAGAAGCCATTACCATGGCCCAGTGGAAGGCAGAAAAGAGCTGCTTCACCCGGGCGCCTTGATTAGTAACCATGGTGACCACTGCCAGCTAGGGAAAGATGAGTTTGTTTGCTGCTTCCAAAATGATCGTCTGGAGGCACTGAACTGATGCTAGCCCAAGAATTCCTCTTCTTTTTTTTTTTTTCTTAAAGCAAAAGGAGTATTTACCAGTGGGTTTGAGCATTGGTGGTTTGAAAATGCTTTTCAAAAGATCAAGTCACCACTGGAAGCACATTAATTTTCTGTGAATGTTTCCTCAGAATTTTTTTGATGGAGTAAATGAAATTTATCAGCATTAGAGAGTTAAGCAAATTAAAATGAATTCCTGCTTCTGAGTTACCAATCTTCTGTTCATGATCTGATTGGTGTACAGGCCTGGACTTGGAGTCAGCAAGACCTGAGTTCAAATCTGGCCTCAGACACTTATTAGCTGTGTGACCCTGGGCAAGTCACTTAACCCCATTTGCCTCAGTTTCTTCACCTGTAACATAGGAATAATAATAGCTCCCCGGCAGCTAGGTGGCACAGTGGATAGCGCACCAGGCCTGGAGTCAAGAAGATCCAAGTTCACAACTGGCCTCAGACACTTCTAGCTGTGTGACCTGGGGCAAGTTACTTCACTCTGCCTCAGTTTCCTCATCTGTAAAATAAGCTGGAGAAGGAAATAGCAAAAACACTCTGGTATCTCTTCCTAGAGAACCCCAAAACAGGGTCACAAAGTGTCAGACACAACTGAAAACGACTGGATGACTACAATAGTCCCTCCCTCCCAGGATTGTTTTTGAACCAAATGAGATCATCTCTGTAAAGCACTTTGCAGACCTGAAAGTGATTTCTAAGTGGTGGCTACTATTATTACTATTAAGTGTGAGGCAGCTGAAGTCTCAGGCTTGCCATCAGAATATGTGTGGCCCTTTGCTGGAAGGATGGTCTTGGTGAAATCTTTTGGAAAGGATGATGGTAATAATAATTACAACCACCACCCACTAGTAGCCTTTTCAGGTTTGGTAGCAAACCTCTCTTGAGACAACCCAATGAGGTATAGAGTGAAAATGTTATGATTCCATTTGGGGGAGATTCAGGGAGGTGAAAGTCCCCCTGTCATCTGCCCTGGATGGGTCATAGTAAGACTCTTGTGGTCAGTTCTGGGCACCACATTTTAGCGAGGGGATTGGTTAGCTAGAGAGCTTCTGGAGGAGGAGACCCAGGATGGGTGAGGACCTTGTACTGTTCAGTAAAGGGGAGAGGCGATGTTTGCTGCAGAACAGAGGCCTTCTGGGTGGCGAGGTGGAGACAGCCCCAGGGTCACTGCCTTCAGACATTCGAAGGGCAGACACACAGAAGACAGAGTAGACTCGTTTTCTTTGTCCCCAGAGGACAAAAGTAGCAGCACCTTAAGTTCTAAAGAGGCAGGTTGGGGCTCAATACAAGGAGAAACTTCCCAAAAGGGAACCCGCCTTATAATGTGATGGGTTCCCCCTCAGTGAAGAGCTTCAGCCAGAGCTGGGTGACCACATGTCTAGAATGTGATAGTGGGATGGGGTGGGGTGGGGAGAAATTCCTCCTTGGGTTTGGGTTAGATAAGGTGGCCTCTGCTAATTGTGTGATTCTGTAATAGGAATGGGTTTGCACACACACAGGCACACCCACCCACCCACAGAGGCAGAGTTTAAATTTAGAGATATCACTGCTTTATAGAGAAGGTCAGTATGATGGAGAGAGGGTCCTGGGTCTGAGTTTGTGTCCTACATGTATGATCTTGGGCCAGTCCAAGGCTCACTGAGCCTTCCTTTCCTCAACTTAAAATGGGAGTAGTAGCGTTTTCATTCCCTGCATTACAGCACTGTTAAAAAGAAGCCCTCAAGAGGGAGGAAGAGAAAAAATTTGAAACCTAAAGTTTCAAAAACATATGTTTTAAAAAAAATGTTTTCACGTGCTACTGGGAAATAAGCAATATAGGAAATGGGGTAGAGAAGTCTATCCTGCCCTACAGGAAAATAGAAGGGAAAGGGGAGAGAAATAGAAGAGAGGACAGACTAGGGGAAGGGATATGCAGAATGCATGCCATCTTGGGGTGGGGGGAAGGGGGAGATGGGGTGAAAATTTGGAACTCAAAAACTTGTGGAAGTGAATGTTGAAAACTAAAAATAAATAAATTTATATTAAAAATAAATAAATGAATACTTTTTTAAAAAAAAAGAACTCTGAGCCCCACAGAGGAAAAATTATTTTCTACATTCAGCATGTCACTTTAGAGTTAGTATTATTTCTCATGTTTTTACTGAATTTGGCTCACAAGGAGTATGATAATTTTCTTCCCAACCCATGACTATATAGCTGCATATAAATTGATATAATTGGTGTTTTCTTAGAAAAGGTATACATAACCTGACATTTTTAAAAATTGAATCATCAATGTAGAAATTTGTTTTACTCAGCTATGCATGTTTGTTCCATACTTCTCTTTTTTATTTTAAAGAGGGAAGAGGTAAAAGGGTGAGAAAATAAATGTTTGTTCATTAGGGAAAATGTATGATGAAAAATCAAGGAAGAAGATGCAGTTACTTCCCTCCGTGACCTTGTCTCTTGGGGAATCATGAGAGACAGATCAGAAGTTAAATGCCAATATAAGATTTGCTCACAGGCTTATTAGTGACAGGATTATGTGCCTGTCTCATTTTGGGAAATGAATTTGGGGGCAGAAGGGGATCTGATGATAGGATTGCCCCCCACCAAAAAAAAAAAGGAAAGAGAGGGTGTCATTGAAATATTTTTCTAAAATACATGGAAGGAAACTGAAGAAAATAGGCTTGGGAAGTAACAGGTTGAATTTATGAAATACACTAATTTTTAAAAAGCACGGTTATGTAATAGAGATGCATGGTGTCCCATATAATCTGCTTTTTCTGTTCTGCTTAGGTATAGGAAAGTATTTTTTTGGTGTTTATTAAATTCAGAATTAGAAAAAAAAAGAAAACTGAAAAATGTAAAAGAAAGAATCTAAGATTGATGTAACCATTCAAAGTCCCCGGTGTAAGAAGGCACCGACAGTAATAGCTGTAGGAATGAAGTAGAGGACTACTTCATCCTTACTGAGGTAAGGTTCAAGCTAGGCCTTAGACATAAATATTTCCTCCAGTATCTGTGGGTGAGTCCTCCTCCACTGATGGAGATGACAGTCTGTTTGTACTGTCGGAGGTCTCTGGGAATTGTGGGCAGAAACCCCCTTACGGCCCAGCTGGTCACAACCCTTGCTGGGCCAAGTGAGGCTGGGCCTGAGACAGCAGGCACGTAGCTGCTTCCTAGGCCCTTCTGGCTAGGTTAGACCTGCCCACATGCGGGCTCTCTTGGTATTGCCTGTAAAAGCCTCCCTGTCCCCACTGAGGCCTCAGAGGAGGAATTTGTCAGATATTAGTAAATTTTTGTGAGCGTGCCTCCGCTAATCCCAATAAGTAAGCGTTTTATGCATGACATTTGATTCTCAGAATGGCCCCATGAGGTCACATTTTGCACAATATTTAACTTCCTTTCATACACTTGGTCTTACCCACTACATATATGCAGGCATGGGAAGATTGCGCATCATCCTCGTTTGTGCAGTCCCCCGCTCCCCCAGACTCTAAACTCCATGAGGGCAAGACCATGGCTTTAGCTTCTGCAGATTTTATAATCTCAGCTTCTAGCACACAATGCTCTGCACATAGTAGGTGCTCAACAAACAGTTGTCAAATTGAGTAGAATTTAAGGAGTTTTTTTAAATGAGAAAACTGACGTTCAGACAAGTTAAGTGACTTGGCCAAGGTCACCCAACTAGTAAAGGGCGCAGCTGGAACGTCAGCCCACGTCTCTGGGCTCTAAGAACAGTTTTTCCACCTGATGGATAGTATTGATTTAGAAAGAGGTAGAGAGGCATTCCAGATGGGCAAAAGCTCCAAGTGCATTCTGGGATTGGTGCTTGCTTCTGGGCATCCTCTGTAAAAATCACTGTGTGTCACCTTCAGTGGAGCAGTCAGGGGCTGCTGCCTGCAGATGTTTCAGGGGGCTGTAGATGTCAGCAGTTTGGTGGAAGAAGCAGCCTCTGGGAGCTCCAGGGAGCATCCCCAGGGGGAGGGATGCAGTGATGGTTAGGAATGGAGAAAAGAGTAAACATTAACCACAAGTTTTAAAAAGAGCACACCGAAATAGTAAGGAATTGGCAGAAAAAAGAGAACGCCCGAATCAGTACTTTCTCATTCTCGTATTTCTCACTGCAATATTCATCCTCCCATTAAAATGGCCAGCCGTGTTAGTAAACAGCGTCCAAAGCCAACACTATGCATGAGAGGGCCATTCTCCGGCCCTCCAAGAACAAGGGCTTGCTTAACCCGGCACTGAGAAGTTCTGTCTAAATAGGCCCTGCTTTAGAATCTGCATAGCGGGAGGGGCTTGGGAGTTTGAGGGGGAGGATGTCCTGTCCCGGTGATTAATGATCTCCCAGCAGCCAGTAGGGGGTGAGTAAGATACGCAGGATTTCTCTGCCCTGGAGCAGGCATTCCAAACCTATTGTGCACGTCTCTGCATACTCCCCAACTTCCTGGTAGCTGGAGAATTTCATACATTCCCTGACCCCAAATGAAACCGTCAGTCAGCAAAGTGACAAGATCAGAAAGCCTAACTTCGTGACTTGAAAAGAATAGCTCGGACACAGTGATCCAGAAAATTAATTTTGTCATTGTTTGGGAACTCGGTGGTTTAATAAGAAACCAGCAAACTGGGGGACTTTTCCTTGAAAAGCTGAAAAAAAACACCAAATATTTGTTGAATCGAATGCCAGGTTTGGTTTCTGACAATTGTTCAGTTCCTGGAAACTGGTTACTTAACATCACTTAAAAAGGGAGATAGTCCTTTAAAATGATGTCCGGGAAGAAGCCAACTTGAAATTCAAGCCTTCCATTTCTCAGGGATCTTCGCTTCTTAATTGGACTCCTGGGATCTTAGCCACCGTCCCTGTAACCTAGCAGCACCCTAATATTGGAAGAGCAGTAATGGCGGAATGCTGAAATTTCTGGGCCAGTAGTAGGAGATTTGCCTTTGGTTCTAATATTTAAGGGGAATTTTTTTCTCTCTCTATTTCCATTGGAAATGTGAAGCTCAATGCTAGCTGCTATACCTGTTGAATCCAGGAGGGAAAGGCCAGTGTGGGGGAGTTTTTTACTGTACTCTTTGGTGACCCAGAGGTAGAAGATGAGCCATACATCTTCAGATATGGCCGGTGGCTGAATTTGTCTTACTTAACCATATGTATTTGTTACAAGGAAAGGATTTTTTTGGAGAGGGAAGACTCATCAGAGAAGTACAAGGAGCTGTGATAGTTCTGTTTAAAAAAAAAAAAGTAACAATGAAATGTTTAGATAATTCACAGAAAAGAGCAGGAGGAAATTTGGAACAACACAGACCAAGCCAGGCAATAATTAACTTTGTACACTTAAAAAACCATGCTGAACATAGTAGAGATTCACAGTTTTACATCCAATCCCTTTTCTTTTCTTTTGTGTATGGAAATGCTAGTCAAATTCCTAATTAAAAAGAAAAATTTTTAATTAGGGAAGATTTCAAAGAAACATTTATTTGAAAAAAGGCATTTGTGAAATTAAAGGGTTAGGAAAGGATTTTTTTAAAATGCATTCTTTCTTAGTAGGTTTTCTTTCCTTATAAATAGCCGTAGTTAGAAGATCTTTTCATCAGGCGGGTCTGTAGCACTCGAATCAAAATGAGAGCAGGCCTTGTTTGCTCATTGGGGGGTGGCTACAGACCCCCCCATACTGTCTTGGGTTTTTTCCCAGCCTGGTTCTCTCTCTGATGAATCAATTAGAAATTTTTTTTCTTCTTTATAAAATACACTCACTAAGAAATGAGATCTTCTCTGATGATGAAAGAAAGGCAGAACTCTTACTTGGAGGAAATGGAAAAATCAAGCTTCAGAAGGGCAAGAAAAGCATTTTTCAAAGTTGTTTGTTTTTTGGGTTTTTTTTTTGGGGGGGGGTCTGCAAAGTTACCGTTATCTTAATGAAAGTTACCACTGGTCACTTTAATTGGGCCACATCTTGAACTCCGCTGTTTTTTAGCTTTAAATCAAGATGAGGGGGAGGAGAGGACACTTTTTAATCAGGATTTAAGACTTTCAGGAAAGTCTTGGAAGCCAGAAATTGATTTATTTCAGTGCCGGTTTCTTTTCTACCAGTTCTGCAGTTCCTGCAGATTAAGGCAGTGTCTAGAATGGTTTTCCTTTCTGGTGGGAAGGCTACTCTGCAATTGGAGAGCAGGCCAAATTTAAAAGTAGCTTACACCATCCTTACAGTGAATTTGTTGTCCGATGAATCACCCACAGCGTGTCGGTGACAACTCAAAAACTGTGTGTGAGTTCCCCCTGCTGGTGAATGGCCCAAGCTCATGTCTTCTCTGTTCTCTTGAAAGGAGAGAGGATGGGGAAAGAGGTCTGAGGCAGCACGTCAGCCTCTCTTACAGACTGGGCGAAGGAAAAGGGAGCAAAGCTCATTCGTTTAGAAAATTGTTTTACTCATAAAAAATAAAATAAAAAGTACGTATGAAAGGCCATTAACTCCTATTTTCTCCTTTCAGTAAGTAGCCCATCTGATTGTGTGTTCATTATCAGTCTCTTTTACCCTCCTCATTTATCTTTTGGGTTATTTATTGGGCTGGTCAGTTCTTTATTCTCTTTCTTGTATCAAATATTATGACACATTTTCAAAGGTTTTTTTTTTAATTTGCCTCCTTAAAGTCACTTACAAACTGTTCGTTGTGCTTTTTTTTTAAGTGCTATTCACAAATACTTAAAATAAAACATTTTAAAATTCTTTATTTTTTCCAGCAATGCAGTCAATCTTTTAAGCAACGTTCCAGTCTCCTGCTTGGATGTCCTCATTAGCCCATTAGCCCAGGACGAAATTGCCCAGGAGGCGACAACTCTGGATGAATCGAACCAAGAAACCGAAACAGGCCAAGATGAAACAAGGGAAGAAGAAGCCAATTTGAAGTACAATACCATGGTGTACAATGGCATGAACATGGAGGCCATCCGTGTTCTCCTTGACTTTATGGAAAAGAGAATAGACAAGGTAAAGCCTATGGTGGGGTGGCTTTAGGAGGTGCCCCCAAATAAGCTGCTTACTAAGAAATATGAATCACCAGAAGCTTAAGAAATGAATCTTGGGAAATGAAAAGAGTTTTAACTCTTAAGCTTTTGAGCTGGAAGGGACCTTGGTGATGAACTAGGCCAATAACTTCATTTTTAAAGAAACTAGTACCCAGAGAGGTGACAGGATCTTCAGAACAGGACTAATCCAACAGAAAGAGAAAGAAGAGGAAAAATTAGAGCCTGTACAGATTTTGGGGGGAAAGAAAGAGATTTGAATGACCTGTGGTGATTTATTAATGGGAATAAAGAATATGCATGTGTCTTAGCATCCCATAGTACTCTTGCTAAAATTTGTCATTTGTATCCCACACTGCATTTGCAGAAACTGACTGTCTGCTATGGCATAATAAAATTATAAACAAATACAAAAAGGCAGAACTAATATAAGCATGTTCTCTACTAACCATAACTCAGTAAAGAGTGTTGAGTAAAGGAAGTGTAAGGATAAAGTACTGACCTAAATGGAAACATCCTGAATAACAAGCCAGCCAAAGAATAAATCGTGTAAACAGTAAATATTCATGTTAAAGAGAATAATAGCAATCAGATAACATACTGAACATTATAGATTGCAGTTAAAGCAGTACTCAGAGGAAAATTTGTATCTTCAAAAGCTTAGGTTAGCAAAGTAGGAGAAGAAAAATAAAGAACCTACCAGCCCAGTAAATAACCCAAAAGAAAACTGAGAATGCAATTTTTAAAAGTAGAAAAATAAACAAATTGACAATTCTAAAGAAATACAAAAGACAGAATCTTGAAAATTGTAGAAGAAATAGGTAAAATTGAAAATAAAAAGATAAAATTGACAAAACTCAAAAATCTTTTTCTTTAAGAGACTAACAAAATCAATGAAACATCAGTTAACGTTTTAATAAAAATATCAAATTATCAAAATAAAAAGAAAGAGCAAAGTGAATTTCCAACTTATGGAAAGTAAAGAGAGTTATAAAAAGAAAAAACTATACACAAATATGTCACCAACACAACTTGAGAATTCAGAGCTGTGCATGGTTATTTACAAATATATGAAGTACCCAAATTAACAAAAAAGGATGTAGGGGTCCAATGCAATTTTAGAAAAAGAAATTATACAAGCATAAACTGAAAAAGAAAGAAAGAAACCTCTGTCCTAGAAGGATTTTTCATGTGACTTCTAATGTTTAAATTCAGTGTTCAAATTCAGATGCCTAAAGAATAGCTAATATCTACATCTCCAAACTAGAAAAAGGAGGCACATGCTTTTCATGACAAATATGGTCTATATACTCAAGCCAGGGACAGGCTAAGTAGAGAAAGAGAACTTTAGATCAATTTCACTAATGAATTTGAATACAACAATTTTTAATTAAAACCCAGAAAGGAAACTAACTGCAAGATATCCAGAAAATGATTCAGCAGGACTGATTAGAATTTATGCCAGGAATGCAACAATGGTTTAGCATTAAGAAAACAATGAGAACAATTATGCGTATAAACCAGACCTCATCATTATATCAGTAGGTGCAGACAAAGCCTTTTGACAAAAACACAGTACTTATTTATGTCGAAACCTAGCATGGGCATGGAAGGGTCACATCTAGATATGATCAAGATCATGTATCTGGAACCAAGTGGAAGCATTATTTGCAGCGAGAGAAGGAAGAAGCAAACCTAGAAGCTTTCCACGTCCAAATAAGAGCATACAAAGGTGCCATCTCTCCCCTCTAGTAGAACTTGGACAGAGTTCTAAAACACCATGCGTAGCTATGTGACATGAGAAAGAAATTAAAAGCATAAACATTGACCAAGAGGAGAAAAGTTTTCAGACAGAATGATTTGCTTAAAAAACCTGAAAACATCAGCAAGGAAACTAAGTGAGGTGATTAATAGTTTTAGTAAAGTAGCAGGATATAGGGGGTTCAAGGAGGTAATTAAATGTAAGAAGACTGGAAAAGTGGGAGGGGGCCAAGTTATGAAGGGCTCTGAATGCAAACTGAGGACTTTATATTTGATTCTGGAGGTGATAGGGAGCCACTGAAGTTGATCGAATGGGGGAAGTGACATAGTCATATGTGTGCTTTAGTGAGGGAAGACTTTTGGCTAGGAGACCAGCCCGCAGGCTGTTACAACAGTCCAGGTATGAAGTGGGTGGTGCCAATATCATAAAGATAAATGATACTACCCAAGTTAATTTTAGATTTACTACTATACCCGTAATACTAGCAAGATGGGAGCAGGGGGAGAGATACTTTAGAATTAGATGAATAATGAAATTCATATAGTGGAACAAAAGGTCCAGAATTTGAATGGAAACAGAATGATGAAAAAAAATAGAAATGAAGAAGACATAGCACTACCTAACTCAAGTTATAAATTATAACGTGGTGACCTTCAGAACTATTTGCCTAAAAATAAAAAGCAGAGAAGTGGAACACATTAGCTAAGTAACAGACAGAAACAGTAGAAAATGAGGGCACTGTACTTGACAGACTTCACACCATCACTTAGTTGGGGTTTTATCTTTAGCTGGTAAGAGCTCCTGGAAAGACAAGAAAGCTTTGGGGAAGAAATTAGGTTTAGAGTAGGCTCTTAGACCCTGTACTATAGTAATCTCCAAATTGACGTGCGGCCCCAGCATAAAAGGTCACATCATAAAACTGCAAGAGTTGCCTTTCCCAGTTATGGTTGGAGGGGGAATGCTTGACCAAAGAAAGGGAGCAAAGACACACTTTTCAATTATATAAAATTAAAAGACTTTTGTGAATATAGACTAATAAAAAAAAATCATCAAATGCTGGTGATGGGGGTAGGTGGGAACTTTGCATCAGATATTCCTGATTAAAGTCTACTCTCCAAGATGTGTGAATGACTCAGAATGTAAGATCAAGAGTAGCTCTCCAGTAGATAGGTTATTAGTAGGCTGTAAGGTCCTTGGGGGCAGTGAGTGACCTTTGCCTCTTTTTGTATCCGCAGCACTTAGCTCAGTACCTCTCACACAGTAGGTGCTTAATACATGTTTTTTGAATTGAATAGAAGCGGTCAAAGAATATAAGAAATAGTTTTCAAAAGGAAAATGGACAACTAACAGTCATCAGATGAAGAAAACTAAAACAACTCTGAGGTGTCACCTCACACTATTCAAACTGGCAAAGATTAAAAAAAAAAACAAATTGGCAAAGATGATACCAAATGGAAAGAGTGTTGGAGAGTCAGGAATCCTAACATAGTGTGGGTGGAGCAGTAAATTTGGTGTAATGTTCAGCCATGCTGTTTGGATTTGTACAAGAAAAATGACTGAGCTGAATGACTGAAAAGCGACTGACCAAGTCATCTCAGTACTGGGCAAATACCCCAGGGAAATCAAAGACAATGAAATGCATCTCCCCAAATATTCAAAGCAGCACTTTTTTGTGCAGCAAATAGTTGGAAGCAAAGTAGGTGACCATTGTTAGTAGAATAGGTAAAGAAACTCATATGTAAATGTAAGCTGTTGTAGAGCTGGAATGGCAAATAGGAGGAATTTGGAGAAACAGATTTGTGTGACTTGATGGAAGGTGAAGAAAGCAGAACCAGAGGGATGCCATTCACAGTGACTACAGTCATTTCAATGGAAACATACTCCTTTAAAAGAAACTGAACAGAGAGAGTAAATATTCATCGGTATTGGTCTTGGGACTTAGCCTCCTTCCATTGGGGTGGGGGCAGACATGGGGCAGACAGAATGTGGAATACATTGTTAGGTACAGGCATTCTATCAATTGTTGTTATAATTGTTTTTCTTGTTACAAGGGATGGTTCAGGTGAGGGCTGGTAATATATCTACAAGTTGACTAGTATTTAAAAAAATGGAAGACATTCTTTTTTTTTTTTTCCAAAGAGCCCTGCTCTTGGGGTCAAAAGACATGGGTTTGAGTGTAAATTCAGCCACCTATCCAGGGAATACTAGGCAAAATCACTGACCTTTTTTGATCTTCAGTTTACTCATCTGTAAAATGGAAATAATCATACTGGTGCTGTCTACCTCATGGAGCTGTTGGCTGAAGGAACTTGGAAACTGTAAAGCACAATATACATGTGTACAGTTGCTGTTCTTACTGTTTTCCCCCTCAAAATAAGCACCAACTTTAAAAAATGAGGCAGTTAATTTAAAGGAGATGAATTATCCTGCGTTTCTCCTTCTTTTCCCCTTGGTTGGGCTATCCTACCAAATCTCCTGATTTGTTAGCTTCCTGTGCAGCGGTGATTGCTGGCTTGCAGTGTTCTCTTGCATGTTGGCCTTGGCTCTGTTCTTGCCCAGGCAGACCCTCTCCTCGGTCCCCTTTGGAGCAGTACCTCTCGCTGGACACAGAGCAGCTCCTAGGGCCATGAACAGGAACCTCATGGCCGCCATGTTGTAACCAAAGCAGCCAATTGCCCAAGACGGGGAACACAGGAAAATATAAGGCAAAGATGCTAAGGGAAGATAGAAATCACTGTGGGTAAATGGGAATGGAGCATCATAAAGTATTGTGAGAGACTGTAGTACGTTGGAGAGAGGCCTTGATTTGGAGTCAGGATTCAGGTTTGAATCCTGGCCATGCCATGACTTTGTGCGATCAGTGACGAGTCATGGGCCTCACACGTCCACTGAAGAGACTGGACTGGCTGGTCCCCATGGTCAATCTGAGCTCTCAGACTCTGAGGGGTTCACGAAACCTCAGTGTCATCGATGTTCCCGCATAAGCTGATCTTTACTTCTCTGAGTTTTTCATTCTTGAAGAGGGGAATCACTCTTTGACCTTCTAAACTCCGACAAAAGTCAGGGGTGTGTGTGTGTGTGTGTGTGTGTGTGTGTGTGTGTGTGTGTGTGTGTGTGTGTGTCTTGTGTGGAATTCTGTAAACTAGCTAACCCATTTTCTCTGGTTCTGCTTTAGGGAAGCTGCTACCGGGAGGGCCTGACTCCAGTGCTCAGTTTATTAACCGAGTGCTCCCGCGCTCACCGAAACATCCGGAAATTCATTAAAGACCAGGTAACAGCTGGACGCACGCTGACTCGCAAACCCAGCTGTCTGGTAGCTGTCATCCTTTACATGCATTCTCTTTGTGTCCCTGGTTCCTTTTTCAAGCTAAAAAAAAACCCCAGAGAACATTGTTCTCCCCTTTTGGCACCCTCTCAATGGAGAAGCAGGTGCCCATTGGCACTTGGAGGGTCATTTGGAGTTCATCCAACTTGGGAATCAGATACACCTTTTCTTTCTTCCTTTGGGTTTGGTTTTATTTTTTAGTGAAGATGGGGGAATGTAGATCTACCAGACTTAAAAAAAAAAAGTTAAACATCCTACTATGTGCAGAGCTCTATAATAATAATGATGATGTTCTATAACATTTACTGTGTACCAGGCACTGGGCTAAGGATCCTCACAACAACGCTGGGAGAGAGGTGCTATTATTACCCCATTTTACAGATGAGGAAACTGAGGCAGGCAGCAGTTACATGACTTGCTCAGGGTCACACAGCTAATATGTGTCAGAAGCTATGCAACCTAGCTGCCTGTAGGTGATATTCTAGGGAAACATGGAGTAGAAAACAAGGTATATATATATTCCAGTCTAAGGAGCTGAGGGAAGAAGAAGGCTTCTAGGCTTTGAGTGAATCTTTGGAGGATTCATGTGAAAATATGAGCCAGAATTAGAGTTGGAGAAAGTGCGGCTGGAGCGAGGAAGGAGTTGTCACAGGTCCATTGACGGATTAGTCCAGTGGGGAAAATTTGGAGCATCTCTGCATGTGGAATTGCTAAGAGGAAAAACTTGTAAATTTATGAGCAGAAACTGTTTCCATTTATCTTGAGAAACTTAATCTTTTGTTTTCAGTAAGGCTTTCTATGTGCAGGTGTCACTGTGGATAGAGCCACAGGCCTGGGTCTGGAAGACCTGAGTTCAGATCTGGCCTCAGACACTTACTTGTGACCTATATGACCCTGGGCAAGTCACTTGGCCCTGTTTGCCTCAGTTTCTTCATCTGTAAAATGGGAATAATAATAGCACTTAACCTGCCAAGGGGATTATGGGGATCGATATTATAAAGCTCTTAGCACAGTGCCTGGCACACAGGGCTATGTGACTGTTAGCAGTTATCATCGTTGCCTCTGGCAAGAGCCTCAGTGACCATTAATGCATGAACATCTATGTGAGCTTCCTCGTGTTTTACATTTCCATGAGGAGCCAGGCTCAGAATGTACAAGCGATTCCAATTAGGTTATAACTATTATTATATTATTATATAATGTATAATTATAAAATATAATTTATAAATATATGGTGTGTTATAAATATATAAATTATAATAAATAAATATAAAATATTTATATTACAATTAATTATAATAATTATTAATCATAAATGATTAATAATTATTAATAGTAATAGGGGGTGAGTAAAATGATGTGCAGGCTATTGAAAGAAGTCTTTGTTGTAAGGGATGACTGAGTGGAAGTAAAGTTAAGGACATGAGGCAAATTCAGACAATGTGAAAACAAAAGGCACCAATAAAAACCCATTTTTCTAAAGAAAATTAACTCATTTTCAAGCAAACTCCAAAAAACTTAACAGAACTTTCCCTTTTTTTTCAACTGACACCCTCTCTAAGTAGGTTTCATAATCCAGAGCTGTAAAGTCCATAGTCTCATGGGGTCCTATTCTTCCACCAAAAATTGGACTGAAAATCCCTTTGCTTAGCTCAGGAAACTAACAAACAAGTATTTACCGAGTACCTGCTATATAGGCCCAGCCCTGGGCAAGGCCGCACAGGGTTGAAACAGAAGTGTTAAAACTTGGTGTCCTACTTGTGGTCTGACTGGGGAGACAAGGCATAGAGCGCTTGGAAACAAAAAATCAGATCGTACGAATTAAAAATCCCGTGGTTCAGTGTGTACATGTTATAGGAGTTCAGACAAGAGAAAGATCTCTTGGGGTGAGGCCTTCTTGGATGGAGGAAGGTTGGACTTGGTCTTACGTTAAGGTATGGATTGGTATAAACCCAGAGGGAAGAAGGCAGGGAGGGATGAATATGGTGTATGTGTTTGCCGATGGGGGTGGGGAAGTGGGGGCCCTAGGGAGATGCTTTGTCCAAGTGGCCGACCTTCAGTATACTGGTAGGATGTGTATTCAAGGGGCAGTGTGTCCCCTTGGCTCCCCTAGGTTCTGTTACGGACACGTACATTACTTGGGGTCTGATTTTGTTGGACTCGAGGAAAGCAAATCTTCCTGGTACTCCTTCTTTCCATCGTGTGGTCTTGTAAAACCGAGCCCACGAGATGTTTGCCATTGATGATGACTGAGTCCCATGTTACCTTCCTGCCTGGGTCGCTCTAGCATTTAGTTGGGTGGTTAGAGATGGAAAGAACCAGCTCTGGAGGCAGAACACAAGGTTCTATCTTAACTCTTATGGACCACCTGCCTGGGCCTCAGTTTCCTCATCTGTGAACTGGACAGATGGCTCCTCTGGCCCCATCCAGCCGTAGGTCTTAGCTGCCGTGACCTCAGTCAGGTTTCTTCTTCACCTCTGGTGTCTGAGAATGCCCCTGGTGCCCGGGGCACAGTCAGCATCGTGTTTGTGTCTTTAGGTCCTGCCTCCTCTGAGAGATGTGACCAACCGCCCCGAAGTCGGCAGCACCGTGCGGAACAAGCTGGTGCGCCTCATGACTCATGTTGACCTCGGGGTCAAGCAGATCGCGGCCGAATTCCTGTTTGTCCTTTGCAAAGAGAGAGGTAGGTGGAAGCCCCCTCCCCTTGCTTTCTGCTGATGAGAGGTCCTAACTGGTCATCCGGGCGTGGAAGGAGGTAGTACTTACAGTCAGATCTCCAGATGCCCACTGCTGGAGGAAAATAGTAGTGCAGATGTCTCCAAATAGCAGCTAATGGAAAGTAATTTCTGTTTGGCTTTAGAATTCAGGCACAACTGATCAGAAAAGTCTGAGCACGCATGCATCTTTGGACCCCCAGCACTGCAGGGAGTGGGGTGGGGGTCACGGAGCTTCTTCACCTTTCTAGGGTCATGGACCCCTTTGTCAATCTGCCAGAGCCTGCAGACCCCTCCTCAGAATTGTGTTTTTAAATGCATGAGATCAAATTCACAAGGTTGCAGAGGAAACCAATTGAATTGAAATACAATGAGCAAAATGTGGAAAATTCCAAATTTACAGACCCCCTGAAATCTCCCCATAGACCCCAAATTAGAGACCCCTGCTCTAAGGCTATGTAAGCGGCAGAAGAGGTACCGTGCTGTATCAGTGTAACACTATAACTTCCTTACTCAGAAATTGCTTGTACCAATGAAATCAGAGGTCTGCTCCCCTCCCCATTTATTCTTTGTTGCAAGCAATTATTCTCGGGGTGGGGGGGACACATGGGGAAAGCTGGTGACATAAAGATAAAAGAGCACCAGCCCTGGAGTTAGGATGACCCGAGTTCAAATCCAGCCTCAGACACTTACCAGCTATATGACCCTGGGCAAGTCACTTAACCCTTGATTGCCTCCAAACAAACAAAAATACATGAAAAACCCAAAAGATTTAACACTACAAATTAAATTTTTTTGTAAGATACTCTTTTGGAGCTATGATGGCCTAAGTGTTTTATCACCAGACAGCCAGCCTCGGCAGAACGATAATTGTCATGATTGATCATGTATGTGGTCAGTATTGAGTGTCCCAGGGCTCTGGGAGTGGAGGGATTCCCTGGAGTCCTGTGGTTGTTAGTGGCCCCTTCCATCACTCAGTGTTGGTATTTTATTTCTCGTCATGTTCCATCTCCCTGGTAGAATGGGAGTTGCTTAAGGGCCAAGCACATGGTAGGCACTTTTTAAAGTGCTTTTGTCCATTAATCATTTGAGTCTCTCTGGTCCTTGGCTGACAGACATAGCCTGCCATCAGACTAGTCCCGGAATCCCTTCTGGGTCTGTAGGACCCACCAGAACCTGCCCTTTATGGACCCCTTCAAGGACTCAAGAATAGACTGCATAAGGTAGAACCCCCTTTTATTTGGCCCGAAACAAACTTCAGTAAGACGCTCTTTAATTTTGGTGTCTTGAGATTTGGCGAACCCCTTATCTGATCATCACGGTGTTGTTAAGTGGGCGCTCTCTAAACTCTGAAGTACTGGGGAGTACTTGAATAATGGCGGTGCTGACCAAGAGTTCCCTGATTCCATGAACTTTGATCTTTCCAAATCTAGGCCTTTCCAGAAGAGGCCTCAGTGTTTGCTCTCTTTCTGGAATATGGAAGCCTCCACCATCACTCCCTGTGTCCTCTCTCTCTCTCTCTCTCTCTCTCTCTCTCTCTCTCTCTCTCTCTCTCTCTCTCTCTCTCACACACACACACACACACACACACACACACACTTTAGCTGCCTTCCTAAGGACCCTCTCCAGCTCTGTTACACTTTTTGATAAGATGTGATAAGCAGAGTTCTGCCCAGTTGTCCAGCTGCAGACATGCGGGGATTTTGTACAGTAAAGTCGTCTCTCCTGTTTTCTGGCGTGTGTATTTTGGGGTTGGTCGTGGGAGCTTAGGGGGTTGGCCTCACTGAATAGCCCACCTCCTAAGCATCGTCTGAATTTGTTTCTCCTATGTGCACAGAGTGAAGATGGTCCACCAGCGTCCTATACGGCCACACCACTTTGTCATCTCTTACTCTGTAACTTGGCATTGTGGTAACAGCTGAAGGAATGAATAAGTTTAAAAGCATTTATTAAGTGCTTTCTGTATACCAAGCCCTGTGCTAATAGAAAACCAAAGCACATTAGCCCTCTGCAGGATGACACATTTTACTCCAGGCCTCCTGTCCCAGATCATTTATAAAAAATGATGAAGAAGACCCATTGCAAGCACTGTTTGAAGCTAAGCCAGTCAGAGAAGGACTCTTAGCCCATTTGCCATCTAGTCGTGACAGGATAGTCCGCCCGTAGCCTTGTTAGCTTTTGGCATGGACTGTCACCAGAGGCTCTCCAAGGGTCTCCATGCCTTGTCTACGTGCTCCCTCCCCCTTGGGGACGATCCCCGAGGTTTGCTGTGATTCCTCCCAGAGCTTCCAGAGTGTCCTTGGCACCTATGTAACGACACCTCCCTTTCATGCAGCAGGATGGCAGCCCTGAAGTACCTGGTAGCTTGGTCACTCCGTGGAAGAGAGAGCTGATTTGCTCTGCTTGGCCCCAGAGGCCCCAGCAGAAAAGAGTTTAAGCCCAGTATTATTGAGCCTTGAGCAAGGCGCCTAAGCTCTGTTTGCCTCAGTTTCCTCAACAGTAAATAACAGCACCTCCCTCCCAAGGTTGTTGTGAGGATCAAATGAGATATTTTGTAAGGTGCTTAATCCAGTGCCTGGCACACCGTTGGTGCTTAATAAATGCTTGTTCCTCTCCCCCTTCCTGGCCGTACTGTTGCCAGAGTCCTCAGCACTGTAGCACCTCCTGGAAGCACCTGCCAGGAGGGGCAGGGCTGGAGATGGCCATGGGCACCTGTACGCACTCAGGTTGATGTGACGGTTGTCCTGCTGTCTGTGACTTTGCAGTGGACAGCCTCCTGAAATACACCGGTTACGGCAACGCTGCAGGACTGTTGGCGGCAAGGGGCCTCTTGGCAGGAGGAAGAGGAGACCATTGGTACTCAGATGATGAAGACACGGACACGGAGGAGTACAAGTCTGCAAAGCCCAAGTATGGTATTAAACATCGTCTGGACCCCCTCCCTGTCCTGTTGGGTTATCTGTCATTCAGGTCTTTGTCTCTTCCTGTCTTACTTTTTATTTCGTCTTCTGAATGATTCTTTTCTCATGTGGGCTGGGTGCAGTGGTCCTGGCTTTGCTGTGCTGGATTTTCCAAGAGTTTCCCAGGGTTCCGCAGAAGTGGTGGTTTTAGGTGACCCGGGCAGGGCAGCATTACAAGGAACGGTCTGTCCTGCTGCCATGGCCTTTCCAATAAGTGACTCATCCTTTCCCAGGTGGTCCCAGATAGAGCTCTGAGGTATTTCAGATGCCCATTATCTCATACTGAAAGCAGTTTCTTCTCACTCTCTGCTTTCCTTTCCATCTGTTAAGCCCTCATAAAGTAGAAAGACCAACTGGATAGTCTAGTTATTGGATTATTTCAGGTTTAACCCTTTCTTTGGCAAACCCCCCAAATTCTAGTCTTTCTTGAACCCCCCATGTAAAGTCTTTATGAATGGGCAGGCTCATGAAGTGATGGTGACTGGTCACCATGGAAGGAGCTTTAATCAGATTAGTGCTTGGGGAATCATCTTTGCCAAATGCTCTAAATGACATTAGTGCCTCGGGTAAGAAAACCAGAGTCCCCAGGGAGCCTCACTGGCGTCAGAGGATAAGATTTAGAGGCTCTACCCAGCTGCAATATTTTATTCCAAGTCAAAATGCCTTCCTCACTTGTGGTGTTCTTGGCTTCCACCACTGAGGAATGACCTCCACTCTTGTCTTTGGGATTTGCTGGCCCACATAATGTTGGAGGGTGATACTATTCCTTTTTGGCCATCATCTGCGGTGTCCAGACTCTCTGCTCCCCTGCTGTGATCTTTTAGGCGCTGCAGGGGCTACACAGTGGGAGCCTGGAGATTGAAAATTGACATCTGCCAAATGAGAATGGGGTTTTTCCCCCTCTTCTTTAAAAAAGATAAAAAGAACAAAATTAAAACGAATGTATTTATCTACTATTGAATCCTAGAGCAAACTCCCAGTCATCACCGTGGAAGTAGGTTATGAAAATGTGTCTAAGCTTCTAATTGTTTGGGATTCATGGGGCAAGCTTCTTATGGAAGAGGGGGTTGATTGAAGGGCTGTTGGCAAAGTTCAGATGCAGTCAGTCCCAGCTGGCTCCTGTGTGGTGTGTACTTAAGACAAAACTTGCTCAGAGAGAACCGTTAGACCCTTTCGTTCACCGGAGTAGTTCCCAAGGACGTTTCCCTGTAGGCATCATGTGCCTGAGGCAAGGGGATTCTGGTTCATTTCTTCTAGTCCTTATTAATCTTTGTTCCTTAGATTCCATCAGTCAATTCACATAGGAAGGGCATTTTCATGCCGAACTCAGCAAAAACTCTCTATCAGAATGTGAGGACTTAGAATCAACCAGTTGAGAAGTCTAGGAATTTAAAATGAAGCAGAAACTGCAGGAGGCCTGTATCCCTGGAGGGTATATATACACAGTGAACCAGGATAGAAAGCCAAGGTTTAAAACCTCCCTCTCAGTGTCTCCTAAACAGCATGATGATGTAGCAATCAGAATTAGTGTATAATCTTGCATTCAGATCTGTGCACTGTCAGAGACGAAGCTGAAATCTCATATGGGCCCCTTGCGTGGTAGTGTCCGAAAAGGATCGAAGCTCACCACAGCCAAATAGTAATGAAGGATTTAAAAAGACCCCGGGTCAGAGCTGGCCCTTGTCCAGGGCCCCTCTGAGTCAGCAGAGGAAACCCCATTGTAGCTCATTGCGCATTAGCCTATTTACAACCAGGAATGGGATGGCCACTGTGCCTGATTGTCCCTCATGGTCTTTTGGGGATCAAACCCTTTTTTGTCTTCATATCCCAAATAGAAACTGTCTTCAGCCTTCTGCCCTGTCATGAACATGTATTTTCTAGAACTGGGGTCATAGTCTAAACAAAATAATCTTCACAGTTCAGTCCTGTTAAAATGAGCTCTTGGACCAAGTATCCATTTCTCAAATCTCTTCATCACTTAACTCTTCAGATAGGTCTGTGTCTGTTTTTATCTTAGACTCTTTCTTTCCCTTATTTGAGAGGAAAAAAATCACTAGTTAGATGTTTCGTTTATTGCCTAAAATTTGAAAAAAGCTTCTTAAACTAGTCTCCTTCTTGAAAGAGCTGCTAAGCAAAGGCTTGGCTCGGAAACAGATCTGCTGTATACTCTGGGAAATGGTCCCACTGGACCTCAAGAACTTTCTCCCCACTGGGGGAAATGAAAACTTTGTGGATGCCCCACAGAACTTTGCCAGCCTCATTCAGCTTATTAAGTCAGTCTCGGATGGAATCTATGATTCCTCTGGCCACAAGGTGCCCCTTGTCTCCTCCTCCCTCTGAGCTCCCAAGAGCAAACATTGCTGATTTTCTTCCCCTGTACGTTTCTTCCCCACGGTTGCCAGTGGACGCAGAGGTAGTCCATCCATCCACTTGGCCCCAGCCCAGTTGTCACAAATGTAAGTGGATTCTGATTAGTGCACCAAGGTAACCCGTAATCCTTTAGAGGAATCTGAGACCCCGAATTGTATGAAGCTTACATTCATGCTACGGGGGACAGTTAATATCGTAGCAATCCTTTTTGTGTCAAAATAAATGTATTTAATGGACTGGAAGCCAGCCTTCTGCTGTTGGCACGCTTGCAGAAATCACAGACTTAGAATCAAGCTCAAACAACAAGCCACACAGGCTTTTGGGGTGTGTGTGTGTGTGTGTGTGTGTGTGTGTGTGTGTGGCCAGTCCAGTCTTTTAAATCTTTCCCCCAAAGCCTTGGGTTGGGTGTTGGAAAGAAACAACAAATTCAGAATTCTAGCTGAACCTGAGGGTTCTGGGATCTGTATGCTATGCAGCAGATCGAACATAACTCTGACCTCAGTCTCATTTCTATACCTCACTAGCCTTGGGTTAAAACTTCTCATTCTTTCTTGCTTGAGTACGTTCTGCAGATGGCTATCTTGTACTCCTCCAAACATCCTCTACTTAGGATAGGGATAGGGACAGTGATTTCAGTAGAGTAGGGATCCTCCCAGATGAGAGAATTCCATCTACCAATGCCAGTCACCACCACCTCTTCAATTTACTGTCTTAAAGAGTTGTCCAGTGGGCAGAGAAGTGTCCAGGGTCATGTAGACAGTATGTGTCTGAGACAGGACTTGAGTCTTCTTAGCCCCAGGGTCTGCTCTCTCTGTGCTATACCGTGCTGCCTAGCCAAGTTAAGAGCATTTTTCTCCTTTTAATTAGGACATAACTGAAAGATGTAAGCTCCGCTGAGAAAACTGTCAGGGGCCAGCCATCCCACATTCTGTATTTTTGCCTTAGGGAATATTGCTTCAAAAAAAATCCCATCTTTCTGAGGTTTAGAAGCCTTTCTATTGTATACAGTTTGGGTTGTGATAATACATGTCATTGTGGGATTTAAATGATATTATAGGAACCTTGGTAATTTAGTGTGATAAACTATTATATCATATTTTTGAGGTTCCTATCTCCCCCAGCCCAAGATTGAAATGGACTATTGTTTGTGGTCTCCAAACGACCCCTAACCCGTTCGTCAGATGTTTGGTTTTTCGGTGTCTCCCCCCGCCCTGCAATTTGGGCATTGCGCCACCATTGGTATCTTGCACATCATGCGCTATGGTGGGTGTTCTGCGTTGGATTCAAGTTTCTTCAGATTGACAACTGAACTTTCCGTAATTTCATTTATCAGATGTATTGTTCTGTAGTGAAACATGGGAAACATTAAGCATACATCATAATGGTAGACACTATTTTTAAAAACGTGTCATAAGTCAGCTTATTTGGTACAATTGAGTACCTTCTCATTAGTCCAATAGCTTTTTATCCTTTCTTCTGAAGCTCATTGAATAGACTTTCATTAGAATAAGCTTCAGTAACTCATCAGCCACGTGATTCTTTCCCATACTACCTCTGGTTCTTTAAGACCTCAGATTGTTGCATCAGACTGTTATGTCAGCCTCTGTTTTACAGGACCTTGAGAGCCCCTTGGGGCAGGTCGACCTTTGTGAGAGTCCATTAAAAAAGGCACTAGTCTGCCTTTAACTTTCCTGCTCTCGGAACATCTGTCTGCCTTCTCCCACGTAGCAAAAATAGGGGGAGAGAAAGGTAAAAAATCCAGAGTGGCCCTTGGGACCCCAGAGGCGTTTGCGATGAGACCTTGCCAATCTGAGGGCATCGACGCTTCCCTTAGAATGTCCGGTCTTCCCTTCGCAGCGCGTGGTGGTTGTGTAACCTGGCTCCTGGGCAGAATTCCTAAGGGCTCTTCTTCAGTAACTCTTACACTGGACATTTTGAACAAAATTTGAATTAGATATTTAAAGAATTAGGGTTTTTTGTGGCAGCCTATAAAAAAAATTTCCCATTCCTGTTGAACAGTTAGCAGTAGCCATGATAATCACAATTATAATAATTTGCATTTATATAATACTTTAAGACTTATAAAATGTTTGCCTCGCAGCACCCTTGTGAGATATGGAATGTACACATATTATCCCCATTTTACAGATAAGGCAACTAGACTTCCGAGAAGTAAGTTGACTTAGGGTTTACTCAGACATTATTAGAGTCACAAATCAAATCCTGGTCTTTTGACTTCTAGTTCCCTTTCTGTTCTCCTACCACCAGTCCTTGAAATATCAGATTATTAAATAACAATACTTTTATTGCCTTTACGGACTGGGGAGTGTTTTATCCCAGTTATCTCACTTAAGTCTCATAAAAGTCCTTTATGGTAAATACTGTAGCTATTATTCCCATTGTACAAAGGAGGTAAACTGAGGCTCAGAGCGAGGGAGGGATCTGGCTATGGTCACACGGTGTCAGAGGCAGGATCCAAATCTTGGTCTCTCTTCACTCCATGTCAGGGCGTTTCAGCCACCCTCAAACGCATGTCTGAATTTCACCATGTTTTATTGATGTCAAACCTGACCTCCCTCTGCCTTATCAACAGTTTACAGAATAGCTTTATTTATATTCAAAAATCAGCAGTTGCTGCAGAGAGAGACTTACTGGTCAGAATAGCTGCGACATACCCAATCCTTCTGGGGATTGTAGGGGAAAGTGCTACATTTCAAGTCAGGAGAAGCTAGTTTGAAGCCTACCTCCAGTACTTACCAGCTGTGTGAACACAAGCATGTTACCCTCTCAGGGCCTCAGTTTTGTCATCTGTAAAATAGGGAGATTAAATTCTGCAGTATTACCCTCACAGAGCTGTGAGGTTCAAATGAGATAATGCATAGAAAAAAATCTGGAAAACAGTATCATTTAAATGTCAGCTCTTGTTATTATTAATTCTCCAGTGTATAGAAAGCTCTAGTCTTAGAACATCCCTGTGAGAAGAGATTGAAAGTCTTTATTCCTTCTCCCCAAGCTCTCAGGCGTTCTCCCATGCTTTCCCAGTCTTGCACTGGGCATGGTTTTTTCCTGTGGTTCCTTCCTCAAGTGCCTCTTCCTCTAGGTAGACATTCATCAGTATAGCACCTTTCTCCCACACTTATTTAGCATCAGGCATTCTTGCTCACTGAATACGTGTCAAGGAGTAAGGCCCGACTCTCTAGGAGTTCGATTCTTCTTTATATTCGAGCTCCCTTTAAGACCAAAGTCATATACAGGGGATCCCTCCAGGCTGAGCGTTATTTCTGCCAAGTTCTTGATTCTTAAGAACCCCCAATCCTTATCATAACTGTCTTCTCTGCTGTGACATAGCGGTTACTAGTAATGAAGATGGGTGAGACGTCCATTGTTTTCCGTAGGTCAGACTTCCTGGGACACCATCTTTGTTGAGATAATTGTGTTCCAATGTGGGAGAAACGTCCCCCCTTTTCAGATTGTATAAAATCTGGATTTTCCTTTCTTGGAATGGAATGCTCTTTCTTCACTGGAAACCAAATACAGGCTTGGTGTCAGCCATTTTCAGAACATATCCTATGTATTTAATATAGTGCTTCTCCCCTACTTTTCCTCACCTAAGGCCTGATGCCTTCATTGTCTGCCTGCTGGCCACAGACTGAGAATGTGATGACCTGACGTCAGAAGACTTCAGAGAGATGGAGGGCTTTGGCCCGCGGTCACCCAGTGTCAGAGGCAGGCTCCTCCTGGTTCAGCTCTTGGCTCTGCTGTTTATTACCTGTGTTAGCTCTCTTTGGGCCTCTACAAATGGAGGAATTGTACTAGATGACCTCCAAGGTCCCTTCTGGCTCCAGACCTATGAGTCTGTGGGTTTGACCTTTCCATTCTCTGGCCCTTATTTTCCTCCTGTGTTAAAAAAGGGGATTGGACTGCATGGTCTCCAAGGACCCTTTCCACTGTAGGTTCTCTAGATAATATTTGCTCCACTTGACTTTTCAGCCAGTGAGAGGAACTATTCTGTTGATATCATATAGGTTCAAGCAGATGATAGAAAGATGGCAGCTACATTTTCCATTGTGGAGGTTGAGCACTGCTCAGGCTCTACTTTGCAAAATTCCTGTCTTTCTCCAGGAATTTGGCCCTTTTCCCAACTCTTGGCATCAAGGAGGGATGATTCTACATTCACTATTCTTTTGTGGATACTCTGAAATTATCTTTTGAAAGACCCAGAGAATACCTCTAGGACAGCAAGATGTCCTTTTCTCATCTTTTTTTTCCTTTGGGGCAGCTGAACTGAAGGAAATAGAAAATAAGCTTTAGAGTTAGAGTTATTCTTCATGAGAAGCATTCCCAAAACAGGCTTCTAGTCCCAGTCCGAGTTTGCTCAGTTAAGACTGGGAAGCCTCCACTCTCCTGTTGAGCCTTCTGATAAGAGCACCTAACACGAAAGTTGAATTGGGGTGGAGGGTGAAGATTAGAAGTTGAGGGAAGGGCCCAAATCAGAACTGTGACAGACAAGAGCCCTAACTGGGAAGGAAAAACTTCACTATCAGTTATTAACAGGGATGCCTGTCCTCTGCCACCTTTGCCTAAGCAGTCCAGCACTGTGTGACCTTCTGCTGGTTCCCTCCTGTCCCCGAATAAAGTTGGAGGGTGCCCAGAATAGTAACTGGCTTCAAGTGGCCTGTTGCACAGTAATTACGTCCCTTTATTTTCCACTCCCTAAAAAAGTAGCCGGCCTTTGGTGTAGTAGAAAGGTAGCTAGGTTTCAAGTTCGGTTGGTACTGTTGCTTATTTGTGTAACTTAGGGAAAGACCCTTCCCCATTTAGGCCACAGGTCACTGTTCTCTGTAGTGAAAGGCTTTCAGGAAGACCCTTCCCAGTTTGAAAAAATGGTGAGACAGATCTAAATAGACCTGCTAACAGGTTCTAGAACATGACGCTAAGCCAGGTGTAGACCTGGGATTCGCTGCTGATTAAATTAATTAATTAATTGATTAATTGATTAATGGCTAAATTGCATGTAAATTTGTTATATGAAATTATAATTAAATACCGTATAAAATGATGCCCCCAAACTTGAGTATTTTACCTGCCTCCTGAGAAATCTTATGGTATTTCCTTTCCCTGATTTAAATCAAACATACTAAAACATATTCTGCTTTTTTCTTTTTCTTGTACTAAATACTGATGACTCTGTACTTTACTTTGAAGCGATAGAGCTAATGAATCCATCTTCTGTGCTTACTCATTGGCATGCTATCATTTTCTGTCATCATTTCCCAGTGTGCTTTTTAATGTTTGTATTTTATGTTGTTTCACAAAACTAACCCTCCTTTCTCCTTTCTGGGAGATGAGCTGTCTCCTTATGAATAAGATTTGTGTATGCAGGATGATATCTTCTAATGGCCCCAGTTCCATCAGAATGTGTGCCTAACTGATAGCCACACGATTTTCCCCTGGTAGGCCAGTCTTGTCTTATTTTTCCTCCTCTAATAATCAAAGATCACTTACTAAATCCAGCAAAGATTTTTTTTAAAAAGCTCTCATAGAAGTACTATGGCCCTAACTTGAGAGTCATAATGAAATGACTCTTGAAATTGATATGGGAATTATTTCCATATTCTTTGGCTGTTAGACCCATTCTTATACAAACAGACTTTCACAACATGGACCAGAGAAAGTAATGGAAGAGCATTCTCTGAAAACATGCAGCATAACCTTTTTTTCTTTTCATAGCATTAATCTTATCACTGGTCATTTAGAGGAGCCCATGCCAAACCCCATAGATGAAATGACAGAAGAGCAAAAGGAATACGAGGCCATGAAGCTTGTCAACATGCTTGATAAACTTTCCAGGTATTGTATTCCCGTCTGGGTTTGCTTGGGGTTGGTTTTTGTTTGGGGTTTTTTTTTAATTCATCTATTTCTTTGTCTCTCCTTAAGAGCACCCTTAGGATTCCAAAAGTCTTCCGTGATGAGTGGGGACTAGGTGGCCACGTCTCTCACGGCCCTTGTGGCTTTTCATGCCTCCTATTGCTTGATCCAGACTAATCCAACAAGCATTTATTAAGTCCCTGCTGTGTGCATTGGTTTTCTAAAGAAAAATGAAAAACAGCCCCTGCCCTCAAGGTGCTTACATTCTACAATGTGGATATACCCCACATAAATAGACAAGCATATACGTAAAGAGATCTTCACCTTTTTGTGTGTCCTGGAGCCCTTGGGCAATCAGTCCATGGAAGCCTAGGGACCTCTTCTCAGAATCATGTTTTTAAATGCATAAAATAAAATACAGAGGAATATGAAGGAAGCCAATGATGTTGAAGTAAAGATACCGTTTTTTCCCATCCAAGCTCACAGATTCCCTCTGCCACCCTCCCCCTTGCCCACAAGTTAAAAACCCCTGATTTATGTGACTGTTGGAAAAAGAGGGAGAGAGCACAAATAAATAGGGAAAATAGGTTACGGCTTCCCATTCTCCGCCTATGGTGGATGTGCCTTCTTGCTGTTTTAATTTGGTATGTGAAGGCGGCCACTGGCTTAATGGAGCATTCACTGATCTGAGCCTGTCAGTCTTCAGAAGGGGCCATATGTTGGAACCAATGCTTTTGCCAATCATTAGTAGTTCCCCTCCCCCCCCTCCAATCATAACGTTTAATTTTCATTTTTGATGTCTGATGTTAGGCTCTGACCATTAGAGGATCTTATTATTACTCTGATACTTGAGGGTTCTCAGGTTTTGTCGGCACTTTCTCTATTGGTGCAGATTGTAGCTATTCTGTGCTTTAGTAAATAGCTTTTGTGAGTTGCTGTGGCCAAAGAAATCTGTGCCCTGGTGGGCTGCTTTGTGGTGATGAGCCTCTCCCACCTTAGTGAGGCTAGTCTGCCAGGGTCAGACATAGTCACCTTGCTTGTGACTCGATGCCTTCCCATGTTAGTGTAGGACCGTCCAGAGGCTGTGCTGGGGGAGCCTAGCCTTGGAGGATCCAGAGTCATCGTAAGGATGAGACCTCAGACGAGGGTTTCCATGGGTCAGTCACCCTGAGAGCACCACAACTCCCAACCAGTGCCAGGGCCAGTGGGCACCAGGCCACAGGCATCATCACTTGGTTGGTGCTGTAAAGTTGGGGACGTTAGATTAAAGGCATAAAAGTCCGTATAGATTAGTACTAGTGGAAACACTCTGTTGGCTCATTGTGGGGTACATATTTAGTCTGCTTTGAATAGTTTTCATCAGTTGCCCTTGGAACTAAGAGATAAACAATGGGAAAAATAAGCATGATCATTCATACGGTGGGACCAGCTGCAGGGGATGTTGTATGGAGAGACCACAAAGGCTGCAATCATTCCTTGTGAACTAGGTGTCTCTGCTGTATTCCTGAAGTTTAGAGGGCATCAGTGTTGGTGCAATGAAAAAGAGAATTGTAGGGGCAGAAAGATTGAAGGCTTGAGTAGAATGGAGTTTTTACATAGCTAATGATGAGCCCCCCTGGCTGTTTCACTCTGGTGTCTTTTTCCCAAGGTGTTCCGAGTACATCATCGTCACTTCCATGGGACCAGCAGAACAGGTCGTCCCTTTTAGCCAGCTGTAGCTGCCGCCATCTTGGTTTTGTAGATGGGAAAAGGGAAGCATAGAAAGGTTGGATTCTGCTGTGATGTTGTGCCTTCTGGGGACCCTGAGCATTTGCTAAAGCACTGACCAAAGAACTGGCCAAGATGATTATGACCAACCCCTGTGGGCATTGCACAAAGGGAGTTATTGATCCCGCCTCTTGCTTAAAGATCTGGGACTCCAGGCTGGAAAGAGCAAGACTTGGCAATAGGCAATGGTGCTTTTCTTCCTAGGTCCAGGTGCTGCCCTCAGTGAAGCTGATAATATAACCTTCTCATTCTTCATTGAGGTTCTAGGGTTTTGCCAAAAGTAAGGCCTGTGCTTACACTCCTCACCTTGCACCGCGTGCCTTACAAATTATAACTTTCTTCGTGCCAAGGTGATTTAAGACATAGGAGGGCAGGCAAAGCACGAGGGCCAGGCAGGCCTGAGAGCCGGTGGTGTAACTTGCATTCCCTAAATCTCAGCGCACCAAGAATGCCACATGCGTACTCTGTGGATTACGTGGTATGTGATGGTGAAAGTCCTAAGACTGGCCAATGCCTCCCTCTGGAGATCATGTTGTTCCCTTGTAAAACGTCCTAGACAGGTTGGAGATGAGAAGCCCTCGCAGGTTTGCTTTGTGGAGGGGAGGGGGAGCTAGTTCTCTGCCTGCAGACTCATCCAATGAATGGCTCCTTTGATCCTTGGTGTGCGTGCCTCTTGTTAGACAGACGTACAGTCGCTCCACTTACCCATCTCCAGGCCTGAGGTAGCAAACCAAGACACTAGATGCTTTCTCTCTCAGCAGAGGGGGCCCAGGGGGAAGAGGGAGGGGAGGCCTTCTGTCTCTCTAATTCATCTTGCCCTTCCCAAAGTTGAGGGGATGAAAAGCTCCCCTGCAGCACTAGCAGGCGCGGGCTTTGCATGGGGTGGCAGCCACACCAGTCAAGTGCATTTGCCTTGACTACAGTCCCTAATACCCCTTACTGCCTACCCCCTGCAAAATAAATGGTGAGACCTATGGGCTTCCAGAGTAAGCAGACCAAGAGGAAAGCCCTGTTGGCCTTTCTGGGGGTTTCTTAAAGTGGTTTGTTTTCAACCCCTTTCTTTTTCACCTTGAAAGCCCTCCACCGGTCCGTCGGCTCAGCCATCAGGTACCATTTGGTCTGGCAACAATAATGCTCCCCGAGTACTGCTGTTGCCTTCCGTTTTTGCATTCATTTTGGGTCAGTGAATGTTGTACATGCCACTGTCGGGGATATTGATCCCAGGGCCTCACACGTAAATGCTTAGCCCAGTAGAATGTAGGCTCCTCAAAGGCAGGGCCTGGTTTAATTTCGCCTTTATGGTCCTAGTGTCTGGTACAGTGCCTGGAACACAGCAGGCACTTAATAAATGCTTCAATCATTGGATTAAAACAAACCCAATTTTTTTTAAAAAGGACAGACATTTATTAGGCACCTTCTGTGTGCAGAACACTGTCCTGGGGACTAGAGGAGCTACAAAGTTGTCAAGGTGGACTTCTTGACGTATCGTACCGTTAAAATCTTTTGTCCAAAATGCCCATGCCCCCAACAGTTGTTGGGTTCCCTTCCCTGCCTCCATCCCCCCCCCCCATCATGACCCTCAGTCAGCTACGGGAGCTCTTCAGCCGGGCACCTCCCTGCGTTTGGGCGGCGGCTTCCTCCACTGACTATGCTACCTGGGTGTCTAGCGGCCCCTCCCTGCCATCCCAGGATTCCTTCAGAAACACCCCTCCTCCTTACACGTGGGTCAAATACTTTGAGGGTTGTATGGGTGGATCTTCAGCATTTGATTCTTTCAGTAAAACCTATCCTTTCTGTTGAAAACAGATGCTCTCTCCACTATATCACGCTGGACTCTGACGGCCTGGGTTCGTATCCCAGCTCTGACACTGACTAGCTGTGTGAATTTTGGGCAAGTTTCTCCATCTTTCTGAGGTTCAGTTTCCAACTCTGTGAAAAAGCAGTGGCCATGTTCAGACTCAAAGATGGGGCAGCAACTACTTCCCAGGTGCATGTAGAAACGCCCGCTCCTCCCCATCCCCCGTCCCCTAGTGGTGGTCAGCATCCTTTACTTCATGCAACCCCCATCCAGGTTCTAGGATTATGAACAGCCAGTGACGCCAGAGCAGGCCAGGAGCACGTGAGACTTTGTAAACTGAGCCTTGCACGAGTTCAGAAGGGCAGGGTTGGCGTTAGCTTTCTAAATTTGGTGGTAGATTCATGGTTTCATAGGCAAGCCTCTTTTTCTCGTCTGTATATGGAAACGTCCATGTTAATCGACTGTAAAGTTCATGTTAAAAACTTTTATTTAAACATAAACTAATATACATGATTATAATATTTGTAGCAACTTTTTCAAAATTTAAAACTAGGTTTTAAGAGAAGGCTAGTTAGAGGCTAAGTCATTTTATTCTGTTTGGGAGAGACACAGAGATTGCTGGGAAGGAGAAATTGGTCTTTGCATGTCATTGGTTTGAAATCCATAACCTCCCCCTAGAATGTGAGCTCTTTGGAGAACAGGGATTGCCTCATCCTTCGCCTCTGCCACCCCCACCACCTACACAGTGCCTGGCACCTAGTGGGCACTTAATAAAGACTTGTTGGCTTAGTGATTGATTTCTACCAACCAGTGGTCTCTAAATTACCTCCTCGATCGAATGAGGGGTTGGGGCTAGAGGATCTCAGAGACAGTGTGTGTGGTGGAAAGGGCATTGGAATGAGAACTGGGAAGCCGGGGCCCCGTGGTCCCGGCCCCGCCGCTAACCTCCTCTAGGATGTCAGGCATCCCTCGTCCGTGAGTGTCAAACGAGGGCTTTGGACGGGACAACCTTGAAGGTGTCCGGTAAGTTGGATGCCCCAGGCCCTGTGTGCTGCCCACCAGCACCCCTTCCCATGCAGCTCCGGAGCAGTCCTGGCTGCCAGGAGCTCTGATCTCAGGCCTCCGCTGGAAGAGCTCCCTCAGCAGGAGAAACTTCAAAAGAAGACGCTCTTCGCTGGATGTTTGCTCACTTGGTTCGCTTTCCCTCTGCAGCTCCTAAATCTCCCCCATCAGGGTAAGAGCGTGGTCGATTGGGACGGCCAGTGCCTTATTCCCAGGCGCCAGTGTGCGTGCTGTTTTTTCTTTCTTCCCTTTTCATTTGTCATATGTTTTATTGATGTCGTTACATCCCAGTCATTTCTGTATCCCCGCCTCCCTCTAGATGGCCCATTTTCCCTGAGCATGTGTTTGCATTTCT